GCACTATAATTTTGTTGGATATCGCTGTGACATGTTTAGATTGGGTGTTACACCTAACATGGTTTGCGCTGCTTACCCTTAAGTCTTACCAGAATTATCTCTGCACCCCTGTCTTGCGTTTTTCGTTATATGCCAAATGTATGATTTCCCTTTACTTGCCATTTGAACTACAATTGTTTGCGTGACTGCAAATTATTTTGATTGGAGTTTGAATTGTTGTAGGCTCTTGGAGACCAACTAATATTAATTAACCCATTAAAGGACTGTATATGCATCTTTTGTCTACTGTTTGTTAATTCCCAATCATGGCATGGATCACGAGAAATGCTGCCTGTGGTTGAATCCAGCTTCTCATAGTAGCATGTATCTTATTAAATTTTATTTTACATTCTGCAATTCTGGGCATTACTTTATGCTTATTTACAGACATTTTTAATTATTTTTTTTGAAACTTAAAAGTTGACTAATTTGTTACATTTCCTGATGTCTTTGGTTGACAAAAGAATAGGCATCTCGGATACATAGGGCGCGTTTGGTTGCTTTCTGGATGTGGCCTGGCTCACTCCGACGAAGCAGGTTGCCACCGGTCAGGCTTTGCAGCTGCAATACCAACTTGTCTGGTTCATGTACACATGCAGCCAGGCCACGAACAGCCCACAGCTCTCACTCCCACACAGCATGCATGCGCGCGTCGTCCCACCGTCCTGTGCGAGCCAGGCTCTGGAGGAACGGCGATTTTTTCCGCACGCCGTGAGCCTGGCCGGCGGACTGCTTTTGCATCGCGCGGACCTGGCTGGGGGGCTAAACCAGGCATCCAATCACGCGTTGGCTGCATCACCGCGGCCTGGTTGGGCAGGATGCAGGGAACCAAACGCCCCTATAGAGTTCAAATTTTGTATATATGGGTTCTGGTGTCCCCATTAGGGAATTAAGTATGTTGCAATAAAACATCGTATATTTAGTGCACATGTAGTTAACTAAGTCATAAAAATCCAGCATCAGATTCATCCTGGATGTCAAGAAATGAGATAAACAATCAATCTGGACCCTTGATAACAAATATAAATTTGAATAATTTTATTTTTGCATGTTTAATTAACTTTCTGTACTACGTACATGGTTTTCAATGACTTTTTAGGAACATTGTCACATGTTGTATCATTGTATATTCACTAATGGGGATCCCAGAGCCCCTGGTCACTAATGAATTCCCCCAGATATATTATGGTCTGTTCTTGCATGCATGTTGTAGTCAGTAGCCATTTATTTTAGTGAAAAGTTTCCTATTATTTTCCACATTGTAGTTGATATTATTCCTTCTCTAGCAATGAAATGATAATCATATCCAAGATAACATTCATATGCAAAAGATGCAAATGTGAGTAGCACCTGACCAGCCAACAGTTCTGTGTAGTTGAACTGGTGATTCTTTTATATGCTTGAGAGTCTGCAAGCATTTTTATTTCTCAAAACGCAATCTCTCAGAGCCCTCAAAGTATCTCTTGAACATTAGTTTGAACGGGATAATTTGTTCTATGAACTAGTGTTTCCACTTTCCAGGGATCATCCACACCTCAAACAGGAAGAACCAAATGTGGTCCCACTGGGCAGTTTATTTTAAGTAGTAATTGTCATTTGATTTCATGTGTTGAATGGAAAATCAATGTGTCTTCTTTCTTCGTTACAAGTTCACACTACTGATTTGTCGTTTCTCTACTATCTACCAGTATCTTGTTTATGTATAACTTCAGTTTATCTTATCTCTGTCTGTTTGTTTTATCCAGTTGATGTCATCATGCTGAGCATTTTGTGGTAGAGACGCCAAGATCATCTCTTTGGGTTCCAGCATATAACTCCTGGCCACAAAATTTGCACTAGATAATATGTCGACACAGGCCTCTAACCGGTCATACAGATATCCAGACAATACCCAACTACCATACCACAATGGCAATCCATTGCATGTTGGGGGCAATGGTAATTACTATGTGCAACAAAATCATGATGATGTTAACTACATTTCCTCTGATAATGGATCACAGAGCAGTAATTCTAGAGCTCAAGGTTTTCAAGCACAGTTTTGCACCCTAGACTCGTCTTCGGCCAATTGTGTTTATCCTGCACATAGCTCTACCTCTTCTCAGAGCATAAGTGGAAGCCCTCTGTCTCAGCAAGAGAGCCACTCTGATCATGCATATGGTTCCTCTCCAAGTGCATCGTGTGTTACTCAGGTTCCCACCTGGACACTTAAGGATCTAGAAAATGTGATGCTTGGACCCGATTCTGACATAGGTAGCCCTGACAGTTCCTTTCTGCCTGGCACTGCCTTGTATGATAACAACTGGAGAGAACTTTTGGGAATTCAAACTGGGGATTTGAGGCAGCTAATTATAGCATGTGGTAAGGCTGTTGACGAGAATTCTTTCTATATAGATGCACTGATGTCTGAGTTAAGGGAGATGGTTTCTGTCTCTGGTGAGCCGATGCAACGTCTGGGAGCTTACATGTTGGAAGGTCTCATTGCGAGGCTTTCTTTCACTGGACATGCCCTGTATGAATCTCTGAAGTGCAAAGAACCTGTGGCTACGAGTTCTGAGCTCATGTCCTATATGCATCTTCTTTATGAGATCTGTCCATTCTTCAAGTTCGGCTACATGTCTGCCAATGGTGCCATAGCTGATGCTGTTAAGGGTGAAGACATTATTCACATCATCGATTTTCAAATCGCTCAGGGTAGTCAGTGGATGACTATGATACAGGCCCTTGCTTCAAGGCCTGGGAGGCGACCATACCTAAGAATCACTGGCATAGATGACTCGAATTCTGCTCATGCCCGAGGTGGTGGACTGGATATGGTTGGACAGAAGTTGCACAGAATGGCCCAGTCATGTGGTCTGCCCTTCGAGTTCAATGCTGTGCCAGCAGCTAGTCATGAGGTTGTATTTGAAGATCTTTGTGTAAGACCTGGGGAGGCCATCGTTGTTAATTTTGCTTATCAGCTGCATCATACTCCTGATGAGAGCGTGGGCATAGAAAACCATCGTGATAGAATATTGAGAATGGTCAAGAGCCTCTCTCCTAGGGTGGTAACTCTTGTAGAGCAGGAGGCAAACACAAACACGGCACCTTTCTTTCTTAGATACATGGAGACTCTTGATTATTACACAGCGATGTTTGAGGCAATAGATGTTGCTTGCCCCAGGGATGATAAGAAGCGGATTAGCACAGAGCAGCACTGCGTTGCAAGGGATATTGTCAATTTAATTGCTTGTGAAGGTGCGGAAAGAGTAGAGAGGCATGAGCCTTTTGGAAAATGGAGGGCAAGGCTTGCAATGGCTGGGTTTAGACCATACCCATTAAGTCCAGTGGTGAACAGAACCATCAAAACACTGCTTGACAGTTACCACAGCTATTACAGGCTTGAGGAGAGAGATGGCATCCTTTATCTTGGCTGGAAGAACAGAAAGCTGGTCGTATCTTCTGCCTGGTGCTGATATTTCCAATTTTTTGGAAGAAGCTTTGTTTAGGTATATTGCTGGCAGCTCACAGATCTTTAACTTCTTATTATCCCAAACATATGCATGTCTTTGGCAACTTTAAGTTTCCAAGCTTGGGACCACATCAGGTGTTTTAGGTGACGTATGTCTTCCATTTTGGCGACGAAACCAGTTAGTAATATCTGTCTCGGTGATTACTACCTTCCAAGCTTGGAATTGCCAGTCTTTTTGGGTGGTAATATAGTTCTGTACTTTGGGGAGGAAATAAATCAATGATAGGTCCCATTATACTTTTTCTAAAGATTTGACTGGGATTGTAGCACAATGTGAGTGGTCTTGTACCTGAAGTCCCTGTATACAAAATGTGATAGCAAATAGAATTGCTGCATTGGTTTTATCAAATCTCATAATCTTACAGAACAATGTACTGTTATGCTTCTTCAGTGGCTGTTGCTTGATGCATTTTATGCTGTATTGCTGCATGATTATGTAATGTCTATTGAGAAAAGTTTGTTTATAGCTTGAACAACTTCATGCCAATCGTAGGTATATTCCTTTAAATAACACTGTTGCTTAGTTTCTTTCTATTTTGTTCCCTGCAGGTTCTTTCGTGGCATTGTGTTCAGCACATGAATCCAAGGTGGAACCTAAACTTCAATATGAAGACTGCACAATCATAAACAAGCTGGTTGCTTCCTTACTGTTTGTTGCCCAGCTTTGCAACTCTCCCATGCTCACCATCATCTCGGACTAGCTGTTCATCTCTGATGTACTTACCGTGACTCAGTTCCATCCTTATATAGGTGCAAACAGTAGTTTGATCACCCCCTTGTACTGGTCTTAATACTGTATGTTGGTAGAATCTGGCATCAGCTTCCGAATCTGGATTGCTGAATTGTGTATGTTACATTTAGCCAGTATTTGACAGTAGGCACAAGGAGTGCCGTTAGATTTTCTGTATGTACAACCTGCTTCAGTTGGTGTATTGTACGTACTTATACAGTATGGGTGATTTACTTGTGTGCTATTTCTGGTTTGGTTATCACAGTACTGCACTGTTCGCGCGTTAAACTCTTGTTTGGTGGTTATAAGTTTTGCTCTGCGTTGGTAGGCAGGAGCAACAAGTGAAGTGTGAATGCCTTTTGCGATGTTGACCTTAGTAGTAGATGGCAGCACACCTGATGCATGACTGAACCACTTTGTGCGGTGTGCACCGAAGAAGGCAAACCCACTGGGATCTCTGCTGAATGATGACGCTGCCTCTGGATAGAGCTCCTAGCCATCTGTTTGTCTGCTGCCTCAACCTCTGCATGCTTGTGGTCTGATTGATTTACTTTGAGGCGAATCAGTTGAGCGGGATTTGCTTCGCAGAACGGCAGAATCGCCTCATCTTCTGCAACAAATTCGCTTGCTGCCAGCTCTGTTGATTACGTATTTGTTATTGAGGCATCAACTAACCACGGCAGAACTCGAGAAGGATCGTGGCGCCATTGTCCGTCAGACTCAGACCTTCTTCGCCATAAATACATGCTGTTCACGCGCTGTTGCAGAGTTGGGGTTGCTGCCACCCACACTCCACTCCCATCTCCCTTTTCCGCACCATCTCTTCTCGGTAGCCATCTCTTCAAGGAAAGGTTCCTTATCTTTCTTCTTTCCTTGGGAGCCGAGAACCGGGACCGACCGGTGCTTTCCCTTTTCCCCCTTGTCTTGCTGCTTCCAATTGATCCGTCGATTGATCGGGCGGTAGTGGCGGTGGTGCATTTCTGGGATGGGGTTGCTCTTCTTGGAGCGGCTGGAGGGGGAGGGCGTGTTCAGGTGCCGGCGCTGCCGAGTGGACGCCGCCTCCAAGGACGCCATCATCTCCAGGGACTTCTACGGCCGCACCGGCCGCGCCTACCTCTTCGACCACGTGTATGTTCTCCGCACCCCTCGTTCTCTTTGCTAAATTCTCGCGGCGGCGGTTCCCATGGCCATGGGGAGGGGAAACAGACTCCGTTTTATTCGCGTAGAATTCGGACCTCAACTCATCGAGCGAGGTCGTCGGCCCAATGTGAGCAAAACTAGGCTGCTATGCCTGTTTCAGGTTGATCCCCGCTTGAATTGAATTGAGGCGAGGTTAGGGAACTCTGTTCAGGTTCAGGCCTTTCGCAAATCGCAATAGATAGATGTCCCAGTACTAGCAATGCTGCTGTGCATACTATATGTTTCTGGTTTCCTTGTAGAAGTAGAACCATAGCATGTTCGAGACATGCTTGTAAATGCATTCATAGTTGGATTACGATTCTGGAACCTTAGTTCCTACCTTGTTACAATCATCTCTACAATCCTGAGGCCCTGACGGATCTGGGTGCTTGTCCGGCCATCAGATTGTAGTCTTGTAGTAGCTTGCTTGGCAAATCAACACACAACGCAGTGTGCTGTGGGATCTTATTCGTAGTGCTGGGGATCACATCGATACTGTATTTAACAAACAAGACTCATAGACGTATTTCAATGAGCACAAAGGCTAACACCGTATTTCTTGTTGATGGGCCGATGGTTATAACTGCACTCTACAAGTTAGAGTAGATAGAAGCCTTAAAAGGAAAACCCATTATCATAAACATAAACATAGTTCTTCTGTTTGCGACAACCGACAATTTTGTATGATTGTAACCATTATCAATTTATCATATTCGTTCTGATAAAGTCACTGCCAGATTGTGAATAACTTGTAACCAAGCAGCAGAAGGACTTAACCATGTTGCTTGGTGACGGTCTGATGGTTATAACTGCACTCTACGGTGTCTGCTTTAATAAAAGATATAAACTCTTTATCATGAACTTGACATAATTCTTCTGTTTTTTTCACTGCCATTTTACTTGCTACAATGTTGTGTACTCATAGCCACTATCCGTCCCAACTCCCGAGGAAGCTTTATACTGTCGTTCTGATAAAGTCACTGCCTGATTGAGAATAAAGTGTAACCAAGCAGCTATCTGCCTTTGATCCATGTATACCTGTACTGGTATGGTTACTAAAACTTTCCTTTGGCAATATTTCAGTGTGAACATATGCCTAGGCCCTAATGAGGATCGATATCTTGTAACCGGACTCCATACTGTGAATGACATCTACTGTAGCTGCTGCCAACAGATTCTTGGCTGGAGATATGTGAGTACAAACTTAATTGGCTTATCTTGTGATAATGATTATCTTATTTTCATTGATCATTGATTCATGCTTGGCAGTAGACATAGTAGCAAAGTTACTTTATAAAACAAGACAAAAGGTATTCTGCAACAATTTGTTGAAATGGGACAAAGCTGAAGAAACATACTTATCATTTCTTCAAAAAGCGCTGAACATCAAGTGGGCGGCTATGTACAACAAATGGAAACTAATCCTTTATTCATTTCTCAACCACTACTTGCATATAAATGCTTTCCCCGAACCATTTAGCTAACACTGAAGTCAATTCCGCTTCACTTTCTGGTCTTAATCATTGGATTGCACAATAATTTAAAATCTATTCATCTGGAGATATGAACACCATTTTGCTGTTCATATGTGGTTGTTTTCCCTGTTCTTGAAAGTTGAGCTCTGAATTCTGTGCTGTTGATGCAGAAATCAGAGGTGTATTTTTAACAACAAACTGGAAGCAACATAGTCTGCCCATGTATCTGTTTTTCTTTTCTTTTTTTCAATTCGCCTTTTGTCATTTGTGCTAAAATAGTGGATGAACGGTATAACTATGTCTTTTCAACCCAGCATCGTGTCTTGATTTCTGCTGTTATGTCCAGAAATACAACAATTAACTACAGCTACTAGAATTATTGTAAAATTGAATTGTTTACAATGTCAAAGAGTGACACCGTCGTTATTTTTCTGTCCGCCAGTAAGCTCCTAATGTCAAAAACATCTCACATTTCCTAGACATGTTGCCATTCCGTTCCTCAATCGCTACATCATATTCATACACCATTTTCTGCATATGATGCATCCTAATTCCTGGGTGGTTTGCTGCAGGAGAAAGCCTACGAGCAAAGCGAGAAATACAAGGAAGGGAAGTACATCCTCGAGAGAGCCAAAATGGTGAAAGACGGTGACGATCATTCGGATGTTCTTACTACTAACATCCTAGAAGCAAAATCATCTTGAACTCTGGAGAGATTCAGAAGTATCCCTCAATTTGCATGCCTCAGAACATTTGACGCCTAATTCGCATTCCAATTAGGAAGGTCACTGGTCACTGGTTGCAGATTCTTTGATTTGTAGAATATTACTGATTCTAAATGCTCTTAGCTTGTTAGCTGTGGTAACATTTGGTGAAATATTGATGACCCGATGAATTGAAACGAAGCTGATTTATCTCTAGTAACCATTGTTATTCAGGCTTTCGCCCTTTTGTGGACTTGTCTGGTTCGCGCAGGTTGGCCAGTGAGAGCCCCCCTCCTGATCCTGGTGGACACGGGCGGGCTTCTAAACGTGGGCCGCATGCGTCTCGAGAGCCCGCTCCATTATATAAGCGCACTGCGGATCCGCACACGGCTCAATTCGAAATCCGCAACGCAATCCAGCGCGGTTCGATCGCCATGGAGGCATGGAGCCGAACAAGCAGGGTGACGCCGCCTTGTCCAACCCCACCGCCGACCTCAAAGCCCGTCTCGACGCCATGCGGCTCGGCGATCCCTTCTCCTCGCAGCCGCTGAGCCCGCAGCACGTGCTCGTGCCGAGCGCGGCGCCCGTCATGAGGACGCCGCCGAAGATGCCCCAGTCCCCGCCTCGAGTGCTCGTGCCAACAGCGGCGAACGTCGCACGGCCGCTATTGCTGTAACTCGAGATTAATTGTTGAATCATTTTTTTTACGATCAATTGTTGGATCAGTTGAAAACACGGTAGGAGCAAAAGTCAGTGGAAAAGTTGAATTGTGTAATGAACTGGCAAACACTGAAACTTGGTAATCACGTTTACCCATGTTTCTGTTTTTGCCTATGATGTTATCTGATGTACAAATTCCATTTACTACGTCAGCCGATAATAAATACTGCTTGCCGGTCAGTTACGACATCAGCATTGGTAGTCCTGCATAATCTACAGCTATGAATTCAGGCTGAACCGCTTGGAGTTTGCTTATCGTCTCCATTTGTTCATACATACACAAGTCAGGGGTCACAAACTACAGTCTAGGAAGATCACGGGCTTGCTGCAGGGGTAAGAAACGAAACGCACAATTTACTGTACCATCTTACTGATATCTTTGCACCGCAGATGAATATAAATTAGAACTGCAGATTTACTGCGAGCTATACTTACACATTATCATGTTACTCTTTCTATCCCATCAATATGATCTACTGAACATCTTTCAAGATATACAAGCACAGAAAATGCAATGAACATCAATCAATCAAATAGAAACAATTATGCACAGAGGCGCAGTCACGCGTTCGGTCTCTGACTCTGAGTCGGTGATCGTCTGGCCCTGGTCCCACCCGCTGCATGCCCCGCATCCGTACAGGCAGTTGGCAAATCCAGCCCAGCGTCCCCACCCCTCTTGAGCCGGGCAGGGCAGCGGGCAGGAACCCACTTGCCTTGCCGTCGTCGTGTGGTCCAGGCGTACCGAGCACCGCTGCCTCTATATAAGCGCCACCACCGCGGCCACCACGCCCGCAACGGCCCTCGTGTTTCAGACGCCGCAACGAAATCCAAGCGAGCGCTACCAACCTCGGCGCCTCCACCCGTCCACCGCCATGGATCCAAAAGGGCAGGGCGGCGACCCCAACGGCCGCGGCGCCTACTACAACTACAACCAAGCGCAGCGTCATGACCACCCCTCGTCGTCGTCGCCTCGATGGCTGGCGCTGCCGCTGTTGACCTCGTGGCCCCAGTTGCAGCCGCAGGGTGGCTACCCGAGCTCCTTTAACGTCGGCATCCCTACCGACGGCAACATCTCGGGCAACGTTTTTGCTCCCTTGGCCGTCCCCATGCCCGGCCCCGGCTACCACTACTCGGAGGTGGCGGGGCCATCGGTGCCGAACGCCATCGCCAGCCAGAACCAGTACCAGCCTTGGGCAAACCAGCCTCATCCTGACTCCGCCGCCTTCTTCCCCGCGTCCGGGTACAACCCCGTCTATCTGCCCGAGGCGGGGGTCTACGCTCAGCAGCCCAGCTCCGCCACCGTCTTCAACGCGCCCGGGTACAACAGCAACCCGCACGCCTTCGTCTATCAGCCCGGGGCACCGCTCTACGCTCAGCCCGGCGCCGCCACCGACTTCTCCGCGTGGGGCGGCAACGCCAACGACGACCCGTACACCTCCGCCGGTCTGGTCGCGCCGCCCGCTAACGCTAACCAGGGTGCGAGTCGCGGCCCAGTGGCTGGCGATTCAAACCGATCCCGTCTGGCGCTTCAGAATGTCCAGGCGAACGACCTGCTAGGCGCCGTCCTGCGTGCGAACACGCCCGGCGAGCTCGTAGCCATCGTCAATTTCCTGATATGGAACCAATACAACGGGGTCCCCCTGATGGAAGTCGCCGAACCTAGGGCCGGGTACGTTCTGGGATCAATTCCTCTTCCATGGCTCCATCGATTTGCGAAAGCTGGTTCGGAATTTGAAGTTTGAATCGAACCCTCCCATCTTTCTCACGGTTTGATCACAAGTGATTCAACGAAGCTAGCTGTAGTCCATTCGCTTGCCTGTCAATCGATTAGTAAAATCGGGGCCTAAACTAAAACCTTAACTGCTACTTCCGTTGAAATGTCGGAGCATTTCCTACGATTCATTGATTCTGCTGTAAACTTAAAAACTGTGGATGATCTGGGTGTTGCCCTGCTGTTCTTTGCCTTGCTGTTGTTTTGCACGGTTGCAGGGAGACAGCTCTGAAGGAGCTCGTCAGGTTGGTGGCGCTGCACTTGGCCCCCGGAGCATTGCAGCGGCTATTCAGGTGCCTAATCCATGGATGGATAATGGAACAGAGCAACGGCCCGCACCTGCTTCAGCATTTCTTCACCACGCTTGATTACGTCCATTGCTCGGTATGCACCCACAGCCCATCGGTTGGCCGCAATGGAGGACATACGTTATACGTATTGCTATTGCTCGCTTTTTTTTTTTGGAACATAAATTGCTCGCGTTTTTCTGATGAACTTGTTTAGATTTTCATCGACGAGCTCGCCGTCCCCCGCTTCTGGGAAATGGTCACGGCCAGGATCGGGTACGGGCATAGGAGCATGATGACGTGCCTCGACAATACGGGATACTACACTGACCAGGGTACTGCTCTCCACGTCACCTTCGTGTACCACACCGTCGAGATCGCCAGGAACATATACGGGTGAGAGCTGAGCATGCCATTACTACATTCATACACCGCGTGGTTCTTGTCGTCAGTTTTAACCTTCTCAAGCTGGAGAAGGGGGTATCTGAATCTGAGTGGAACTAACGGGAAACCTCCTTCCTGCGTGCCGCAGCTCCCAACTCTTGCGGGCCGTCTTCGAGAGAGGCCGCAACGATCAGCTCAAGGAACGCATCAGGGAGCGCATCGTGGGCAATCTCGTGGAGTTGTCCATGGACCAATACGGGAACAACGTGGTACAAGCGTGCTTCATCCCCAGCATTAGGATGCCTTTCTTTTCGGTGATTCTGCTGCAGCGCGGGCTCCAAGCGTTCTTGCCCCTGCCCGGCGAGCATCTCCGGGAGTTGGTGCAGAACCACTGCGCCCGCTACGTCCTCCGCCGGCTGCTCCGCACCAGCGTAGACGTAAGTATTCGCCTATCCTGTCACGCCAATGCCAGCGCCGGGCGCCCGGGCGCTCGATCGTTACCTGAGACTGGTGTTTGACCTGCGCGGAACGTGTCATGCAGCACAATGTGGTGGCGGCGGAGGCGATGCAGCTGGCAGAGCGGATCTTGGGAGTTGGCTGGGGCTACCGGAGACGAGGCGGTGATCCACGAGCGCAAGCCATAGCTATGTTGTAGTAGTCGATGACGCTGAGTCAGAGCGCGCCACGATGCCTTAGACTGTTACTGCGAATTGCGACAGGCCGTTTCTGCCTGTCATGCTGCCCAAGGATGTGCCAGGCCATTCTGCTAAAGCTGCACTGCGAATTGTGTGTTTGATTGGCATTGCTTGCTGACGTACACTGTCAAATGTCTCTGGTTTCTCTGTACAATGCTACGCCGTTGCTGTACAGCTCGATTGATTCCATGAAAGGAAACTAAAGATTTTGTACAGTCTATGCTTGTCCAGTACTCGGTAGGCAGCATTTCGGTTTGTATCCATGTTGCTAATTTGTTCGCTTATAAGCCTTATTTTTTTCAGTCAACGAACAGTATTTTTCTCTCGTAACAAATTAGCCAACATTACTTTTAGTCATGGCTTATCAGCCAAGCGAACAAAGCAACATGTCGCTAATGTTGTGTCAGATTAACCGTCGTTGCAATTTATGTCTGCGTGTACTGGTACCGTAAAGGTTCACCACTCGCGCTCTCACACCGCACCGATGCCACGCACTGTAAGCAAGATTATTAGTATACCAATCCGTATCTAGAATGTTGAAATACTACGTGTCATAATCCAACATTGCATCTTAATAATCGTAAGTATCATATGCATAATCATCTTCTAAAGTTCGTTTTTTGTAAAAATTAGTTAGCCTTAGCTAGAACCCCTATGATCCGCCATCACAAGATCTAGGTCGACACGTCCAGGCCTACAGTCTACCAGATCACCATGCACGGTCCGCCAAAACTGACCTAGGCTCAGGATTAGGTATCACTTAATTTGTTGCTTCGGCCCCACCCATTAGACCTATGTGGCCTCTCCACCAGCTAGCACACACACACCACTCCCACTCTTTCTAGTTCTTGGAGGGGAGAGCTTTGGAAGCTTCACCGAGTCAAGGTAGGAGGAGAAATCTTATAGGAGGTAGCCAAGACCTCCGTCCTCATCTGCAGTACCACCATGTCCATGGCAGGGATGAGCTAGGAGAGCTCATCCCCTTGCTAGGAGGGGGTATCAAGGCAAGAAGCAAGGAGGAGGAGAACCATGCAAGACCAAGCACAAGCTCATCCCCAAGCCCTCTAGATCATATTGGCAACCCTGGTAGGTACAACACGAATCCAAACCCTAGAAATCAATAGAGGTCAAGGTAGTGTAGTTTAACTCACCTACTAATTATCCCTAAATGGCTAAAACATGATCTAGGTAGTTTCGATGCAATGTACCTTCTTAGATATGTTCACAAGCACCTTAGAAACCCATGTGCACAACCACATACCAAGTTCTACCTCTATTAAATTTAAAGTAAACATAAATACTATGTGTCACCATATATATCAAGTCCACACAAAATATTCCTTTAACAAAACACATACTAATGACATTGACAAATTCATTTAAATTTATATTAAACTTTATGAAAATAATTTTTGTAATTTGTTAATTTATTAAATTGCATATACATTACTACGTTACAATGAACTGACATTCATTGTCGGCTCATCACGGTTGAGTCGTTTTGAAACCGATGCAGTGATAGAGTACCATTGTCGGTTCATGGCTTCAATCGGTGTGATAGGCATATGAGATCGGATGAAGATAAACTTTATATGAAAATTGTAGAGTTTAAAGAGATCTAAAATTTGTTGTTGACAACTTTTAAATTTGAGATGATTTACAAGTCCAAATATTCAATATAAGTTCTCGAATCAGATTTGACATGAATAGCAATGTCGAATGGAGACAAAGTCTGCATCAAAGTTGTAGCACTCGACAAGATCTACAACTTTGCAGTTAACAACTTTTTAATTTGAGATTGTTTTGAGTGTCAAATATATAATATAAGATTCGAAAATGTGAAGTTAAAAGAACAACATCAGTAGCATAGTCACACGTGTCACGTAGCTTAATTAGTATGTGTGCGCGAGGGAACGTGAACACTCAGGTCACGAGATTGATCCTGAAAAGCATATATTTTGTAATTGTTGTGATCTGTGGTGGTGACATTTTGAATAAATAAGTGATAGTTTAATTTTGTATACACTCTATTTTTTTCATAAAAACAACATAACCAAGAATATCTTTTAAAATAGTTCAACATCTTGAGTGTCATGGTGCAGGTTAAAATGATTGTATATGCCATTATAATGAGAGACGAGACTCCGACCTAGAATCCATTATACAATAAAAGTTTTAAATAAAAATACAATAAATACTTGACTTTTAATTGTAAAAGCATTGGAACACCTAAAAGGTCAAAAAATGAAAGCTAAAATATAGATTCACGATGTCACAAAAAAATGCAACAAGAGCCGATATAGACTAAGATTTTAACTTAATTAATACTCATTGAAACCCCATATATGTGCAATGCAAAGATGAAACCACGTAGTATTAAGTACTTGGTAAATTTATCGTAACTAGATAGAGTTTATAGAGTGTATAAATAGGTATTGTCTTAGGAATTAATAGAGAGAGTTAAGATAATAAACTTCGATTAGTTGTACATACTAAATTCACCCATGAAAATTTTAATACCTTTTTCTAGACTATACTGGAGTACGGTTTGATGGGCTAGTAAGTTCAAATCAAAGATGGCAAATCATATGCTGCACTTCAGTGCTAGGGAAGAACATAGCTAAACAAGTTCTTATTTCACGGAACACATATTGTAAAAGAAGATGTGTGTCCGGAACAAAATTATTTGGCTCAGCCCAATAAAAAATTGAGAACAACATTCAGAACATAGCCCAAAAATTCTGAAGAGATGAACTGTGAAGGTGTTGTGAGGAGTCCTGCGTTCATATATGCCTCTAGGGTCCATCAACATTCGGGTACCGCAAAGTCTGCAAAGCCTGAGCAAGCAAGACAATGAGAACATTTGCAGCAGTTTATTTCCAGTAATCTTTTTTTGTTTACACTGGTGCACAGAAAAAAGAAAACAAAAAGACGAGTACTGTCTGACATGTGAGACATCGGATGCTTCTTAGTTCTGATCTGAGAAACTGTGAGTATTGGCAAAAATTTAATTTAAAGAACGATTTCTGAACTGAAACATACAAAACCTGTATGTATGTACCATTTTAGCATCTGTGGAAGGGACCGCAGAGCTGAGCGCCCTTCCGGCGAGAAGCATGGATTGCCTTGCTGAATCACTGAGTCGGTGAACGTCTGTCCCTGGTCGCACCCGCCGGCCGCCGCAACCGCATGCCCGCATTCGTACAGGTACCAGGCAAAGGCAATCCAGCCCAGTGTCCCCGCCTCTCTTGAACCGGGAAGGGGCCAAGGGGGCAGCGGGCACCTGCCTTTGCCGTCGGGTGGTCCAGCCGTCCAGGCGTCACAACTCCCGAGAGCCGCTGCCTCTATATAAGCGCCACCACCGCGGCACCACGCCCCCAACGGCCCTTGCGTTTCAGACGCCGCAACGAAATCCAAGCGCTATCAAGCTCGGCGCCTCCCCGCTCGTCCACCGCGATGGATCCGACCAGGCAGGGCCGCGACCCCTCTGGTCGCGGCGCCTACTACAACCCAGCGCAGTTTCCTGACCTCCCCTCCTCCTCCTCGTGGCGACACCCAGCGGCGGCCTCTCTTCTTTGAGGCGAGCCCGCCGCCGCTGCAGATGAACCCGCAGCCCCAGTTCCGCCCGCATCGAGGGTGGCGACGCCGGGACGAGCTCCACGCGTCGGCATCCCTACCGACGGCAACAACATCTCGAGCTACGACGCGCTCCTCAACTTCCCCATGCCCGCTCCCAAACCTCGGTGCCGATCGCCGGCCGTCGCCGAACTTCGCCAGCAGCCAGAGGCGATACACACTCGCCAAGATGGCTCCGCCGCTCTCTTCTCCGCGCTGGTACGACGGGCGTCTTCAACCCGCACGCCTCGTCCCATCGCCACATCAACGGGCGGCGGCGGTCTGCGCTTCGGCCGCCCGCCGCCCGGCCGCTGGCGAGCGGCAACTCCACCAAAGAACGACCAACACCTCTGCCGGTGTGATCGGTGCACGCCGGGGCCAGATGGTGGCGCTCCAAAACCGTCGGCGCTTCAGATGTCGAGAGCGAACCCGGCCCCTTGCGGCGAACTCGGCGAGCTCGGATTGGTTGGCCTTCCCGCCGATCAAGACAACGGCGAGCTCGAGCTCATCTGTGTGTGTTTGCTTTGCTTTGTTGTTTTGCTTTTGCACGGTGCGAGGAGAGACGGCTCCGGGTGCTTTCGTCGGGGGTGGCGGCGTGGAACTTCCCGGCATCGCAGCAGGCTATTCAGTGCCTAATCGAGGGATGGATGATGGAACAGAGCAAGGGCCCGGAACTGCTTGAGCATTTCTTCGCCACGTTGCCTTACAGCTGTTGCTCGGTATGTAATGTAGCTACCCACAACAGCCCTGGAGGACGACATACGTATTGCTACTGATGGCGTTTTTCTGATGAACTTCCGTTTAGATTTTCACCCGCTTCAGCGACATGGCCACGTCCTATTTCGGGGGGATGAGCGTGATGCTATGCCCGGAGAACGCGACGAAGCATGAGCTCGGCCATGATCTCGAGGACACCATCTTGACCCATGCCGTTGAGATCTCCAAGAAACAATACAGGTGAGAGCTGAGCATATACCATTACAACATGAGTTCATTCACTGCGTGGTTCTTCTCGATCGTCACTCCTAACGTTCGTTCTCAATCTGGAGAAACTAACGGGCGGGCCGGGAAACCTCCTTCTGGCCGGCATTCGCATGCCGTAGCAGCGTCTTCTTGCAGGAACTCTTCAATCACGATCAGCTCGAGGACCACATCAGGGTGTTCATCGTGGACGATCTCGTGGCGTGGTCCACGGACACATACGGGCACTTCGTGGTACAGGCATGCTTTCGCCCCCGCGCTAGTCCGTCTCCGGTGCCTCCGTTGCAGCGCGGGCTCGAAGCGTTCTTGCGCCTGCCCGCCGAGCGGCTCCGGGAGTTGGTGATGGACTGCAATGCCTACCACGTCCTCGGCTCGTTGCTCCAAACCAGCGTAGACGTAAGTATTCGCCTATCCTTCCTGTCACGCCAACAGTCGGTCGTTCGTTAGCTGAGACTGGCGTTTCATCTGTGCGGAACGTGCCATGCAGCATGGAGCGGCGCCGGCGGAGGTGATGCAGCTTGCAGAGCGGATCTTGGGGATGCCGCGGACGAGACGGATGCTGAACTCCGTCGTCCGGCGGGTGATCGACAAGAGTTTGCACTAGTAGTCGATGATTTGCTCCGCTGAGTCAGAGCGCGCCACCATGCCTTAGACTGTACTCCGACTGTGAATTATGTGTTTGACTTTGATTGATTGGCATTGCTTGCTGACGTACACGGCCAAATGTCTCTGGTTTCTCTGTACAATGCTACGGGTTACTATTGTACATCTCTAAACATTTCGTACAGTTTAGGCTTGTGTAGTACGTACGTACTACTACTACTACTCCGTAGCCAGCATCTCTGTTTGTATCCATCCGCTAATGTTGTGTCAGATTAAAAGTCGTTGCAATTTGTGCATGCATGTACTGGTACCGTAAAGGTTCACCGCTCAAGCTCAGACAATTTACCACACAGATGGCTCCCACCGTAAGCACGATGATCAGTAATACCGACCTGCATCCTACAATGTTAGGAGACTATAATTCTATCCAACTTTCGTCACCAAAACATTAACTTAAGGCACTTAAACTTTACTTACGGAGTAGACATTAACTAGTCTAGTTGTTCCCCAATAGAAGTGCTTTTATTGCTTTCGTTTGCGCAGAGACTTTAGATTGGTTGCAAGCGGTCTTGATGCGTCAGATTTTTTTAGTAAGCCGACTGAGTTGGGATCTACACGGTCAGCGACCATAGATACCTGGACCCACCTTAGAGTCTAGCACTGGTCTCATATGCAAGAGATGAAACCTTATACATCCAAGCTCCAAAGACAGTTCTTTCCCCATACTACAGTAGCATAGCAACTAAGCGATTTCTCGAGCGACCTTATTCTTCCTCCATCGATCCGCCGGCGCCCTCTCTTCTGACGTTCCTGCCAGCATTAGAGACGAGAGGGGAGCTGGGCTCCTCGGTGGAAGGACCCTATATAGTTGTAGAAGTAGATCTTCTAGCTTATATTTTCCTCGGCTCTTCTTAGTCCTGGTGTT